GAGGCCTCGCAGGCCACCCTGGCCAGCGTGTCGCCGGTGTTCGCCGTGGTGAGTGCGCGCCGCGCGGAGCTCGGGGCTGCCCCTGCCCCGCGTAAAGCGTCTCGTGTGCGGCAGGGGATCCGCCCGAGACACGGGCTGGTGGGCGCTGCTGGTGGTCAGACGTGGGCTCGGCGTCTTCATATCATGTTGCTTGTGTGCCATGGTGCCTGCAATAATAACCTAGGTGTCTGGGGAAAAAGGAATTATTTGTGTCCTCCTCATTAAATGGAGCCTGGGAGGCAGCCAGCACGGTGAGAGCATAGTGGGGAAGGGGTGAGGCCTCCTCGTTGAGCAGGCGTCGCTGTTCCCGAGCAAGACCCGTGGCCGTGCAGCACCCCGTGCCACCGCGGGCTCCGCTCTGCCCCTGCTGCAGGTAGCCCTCGAGCTGGCGGCGTGGCACTGAGCCGGGCCGAGGGAAAACCTGCCCAAAGGAGTCAGGTGCTCCACATGTGACCCTTCTCCCGAGGGCTGGGGTGTCAGCCAGCGGTTTCAGTTGGAGTTTGGTTGAACACAGGGAAATACAGGCCACCTCAGTGCGTAATTGGGTTTGCTAGCATAACCTGTGAAGAGAGGGCATCAGAGTTTTCTATGTTTGCCAAGGAAGTGGAATTCTAGTTTTTTTTTTAAAAGAAAACCTTTTGTAGTAGTTATGTGAAAAAGTAATCCTTTTTTCTTCTCCTTTAGATGAAGTTCGACAAAGAAGGAAATACTAGCTACTTTGGTAAGTAGAACATTTGTAGTTGGGATGTGTTTATTTATTTTTTAATCTTTTCATCATGCCCACTATAGAAAAGCTCACTAGGGAATCTCCCTAGGGTAGACATGTATGTTTGTGATACTTCACTGTATTTATTAGTGTGAGATGTTGTAATACTTTCTGTGTTGCTCTCTTCCATGGATTTTCCTAGTAGCTTTATCATTGCAATATTTAAATACTTTTAAGTAACACATTGAAACTTACGAATACCATCTATCACATGAAGATTCCTTTTACTTCCTCCTTGCTTTCCAACCATGCAACTTTTTCTTCCTCGCATATCACTGCAGAATTGTTTGTGCTGTCTCAAACCAGCCACGTGGCTGCTGAGGTGAAATTATTTGCAGTGGAAAATTCTATCACTTACACTCAGAATTGTTATTTTCCTGCTTGATAAGTAACCTTTAAGCTTATTAAAAGATAATTTGACTGAGGAATCAATGGGAGTAAAATTGTTTTAAATATCAAAGGTGGGTTTTTTTCCTTTTTTGGGACTAAGTAACAAATTAAAATACAACTCAAAGCTTTTCCTCAAAGTGTTTTCAACTAAAAATATTTTCATGATAGAAAAAAAGAAAACAGAATTGTACCAGGAATTGGATCTTCAAGCTCGAGATCTGCGGTTTCAACACCTGATGAGCATTACAAGTAGGAACAACAGGATCATCATGAGGATGGAGGTAATCTTTTTCCCATGACCTCATGTAAACTTGAACCATGTCCTGGCCATGCATGTACAGTTTCTTAGGTGTTTTTGGTGGCCTTGTACTGTGTTTTTCAGTTCTTGAAGGCTGTCATAACACCAGAGTTTCTTCTGATACTAGATTATCGTAACTTAAATCTGGAACACTGGCTCTGCAATGAACTAGCAGCTCAACTATCTGGGGAAGGCCAACTAGTTACGTATTCCCTGCCCTTCGAATTCCGAGCCATAGAAGCAATCCTGCAGTACTGGGTGAGCTCTCTGCTTTTTGACTAAATTCATGCTGTTATTCCTCCATAGAAAGGGCAGTATGGTTCTCTTCTTATGTTAGTATGTATGCCTGTGTGCCTATATTCCAGTTTTATATTAGTTTGGGGGGGGGGGGGGGTTAGCTTCCACTGCTTAATTTTTATGGCTTTTGTGTGTCTGTTTGCATTCCCTTCCTGGAAAAAGTGCTAACTGGAAGGATTATTGTTGAAACAATTTTAGTAAGGATATGATGCCCTCGCCATCATTTGGAAAATTTGAAATCAAGTCAAGGTATTTTTGTAAAGATGTGCTACTCCTGACAAAGAAGATAGGCGGAATATGCCTTATTTTAGGCATAAAATCAGATAAAAGTTCTAACTCTTAATAGGAATATAACTTTTCAGGTTAATAGATTGTCAGCCATATCTCTGTGTTTATCATCAGGCTTCAGTTCAGGGCGAATCATTTATATAAAATGCTGCATTTTGTAAGTGGTACAAATACTTCCACTTGTAAGTGGTATCTATATAACAACTATTTCCAGTGCACTGGAAAGCAGATTGCATTAACTGCCCGTTACTGTGAATTCTGTGTTCAGAGTTAGGAGTCACTTGCCCAAGTCATTCAACAGGGATTGCTTTAATTCTTATGGAGGATCATGTTGTTATCTAGATCAGCAAACTGCAGGGGAGACTTAACACTTTGCAGCCTCAGATCCTTGAGACTCTGGAAGCTCTAGTGGACCCCAAGCTTTTGTCTGTGGATAGGAGTAAGCTACACGTTCTCCTGCAAAATGGCAAGAGGTAAATAAGAATAAGCTGTGGAGAGAATAGAAGATGACCATTGAATATTGTATGCAGTTAAATGTTACAAAATGATATCTGTTACGAATATCTTAGAATACTGTAATGCTGGGTTGTACATCTTATTTAGAAATGAAAAATCAGTATATGGTATGGGAGGAGAAAAAAAAAACAGAAAAGTGGAGTCTATTCTGAGCTGTGAGAAATACAGTCAAACACCTTAAATAGCTTCTGGTAAACCAAAACAACGTCTGGTAGGCCAAAATAGCATCACTGAAGTGTTTGGTATAATACAAAGCAAGGCCAGCTACTGGATATGCTCTTTAAGATTAGTAGTGCCAGTCCATTAGTGCCTTCATGCGTTAGACTGTCTGGCAGGGCAGTGCAAACATGCACGCCCTCTGTGCTCATGGAGCGCTCGCTTTCCCTGACTTCAGAGTGTGTCTGGAATTTCCAGCTGAAGCCTTTTCAGTGGCTGCCAGGTGGTGGTCACTGCTGAACATGGGGTCTGGAGGGAGCTTTTCTGAGGGTAGAACCCTCCAGAGAACCTTCCAGGTGACTCGTTCTGGAGAGGGTTCTGGCAAACTTGATTTAAGATGGCCTTTGTGCACAGGTGCCCCATGGATTACTTGACCTCTCGCCTGTTCTTTCTTCAGCTTATCAGAACTGGAAACAGATCTTAAAGTTTTCAAAGAAACAATTCTGGAGATCTTAGATGAAGAAGAATTAATAGAAGAGCTCTGTTTAACTAAATGGACTGATCCACGAGTATTGTATGTATCTTACAAAAATACAGAATCTTCAAAGTGCATTTTATCCAAAAACAGTTTGAATACTAAATTGGATGTCCCCCTACAAAAAGTAGAAAGAAAACAAATTACTCTTCTTAAAGCACTAGTGCTTTGCCCCTTCAGAAATGGTCGCATCTCCGTCATTCTGGAGTGGGACAACAGTAGCACTGTTCGTATCATGCAATTTCAAAATGTCTAGGAGACCAGCTTGTCTCCTGGTATGCAGTGGGATGGAGGCAGGATGGTAGGAGGATAAAAAACAGGGAAAAAAAAAACACTTTGGGGGGAGAATTTTCCTCAGTTTCACAAACAGAACAAAGAAGGAGTTTAAAGATTTGTCCCAAATAGGTTAAGCACCACCCTTCCTTCCTTAGGAGTGTTCTGAACTCTTGCTCCTAGACTTTGGTTCAGCAGCAGAGCTGAACCAGAGGAGAGAGGCCTCAGAGCAGCCTTGTTGATACTGCTCTTGTGCAAGTGCATCTAGAGAGCGACAGTTCAGGAAAAGGGTATGTGCAAAAATAGTCCTATTGCAGCCTCTCAAGTTCAGATGAAGGGTCACACGCAGCAGCACCACTGCTCTAACAAAACTAAAAAGCTAAAAATATCATGCAGCAGATCCTGATAGGTTCTGGTCCATGCGGTAAGAAGAGTATCTCACAGAATCACAGAATATTCAAGGTTGGAAGGGACCTCTAGAGATCATCTAGTCCAGCCTTCCCGCTCAAGCAGGCACACCTAGAGCATGTGGCATAGGGTGGCATCCAGGCACTTCCAGGCTGCTTCACGCTCCCAAAACATTTTGTAGCAGTTATTGCGTAGAGTTGAAGTGCCTTATAACTAAATTATTTTATTATATACCTACCACATAGACTTCACTATGTTCTTGTTTGTCAACTTCCTCCACTTATCAACTTCCACCACTTCAGGGCACCAGTGAATTAAACATCTCCTTTCAAGAATGTGAGCACTTCAGTTTCATACTATCTGAAAAACTGATTTGGGCTGTTGTGCTTATCAAATCCTTCCTGCTGTAACTGAAATAACTGACCACCTGTGATGGTCAGATGATTAAAAAAATGGAATAGTTTGCCTTTCATTTCATGCCCTTGAAGGTTCTCCACTTAAAAGACTGGGTTTTTGGGTCAGGCCACACTTCCACTTGGTGTCCCCAACAGCTCCTTAGTGCATGAGTAGCACACTTGCCTCTAAGGTGTACCTAGCAAGAGTAACAATTGTTGCTCACAGTGAGGAGAGCTCATCCGGGATTGACCATGCGGAGGAAATGGAACTGCTGCTGGAGAACTATTACAGACAAGCAGAAGATCTTGCAAACGAAGCTCGTGAGCTCAGGGTGTTGATAGACGACTCGGAAAGCATCATATTCATCAACCTGGACAGGTCAGCTATCTCCTCTGTTGCACTGCCAAGTGCTGAGCAGGATCTAATGCTGCCTGTTCTTTTCAGTCTCTGCCTGCAGGGAAAGTGGGGGAATGTCACCTTTGTGAAGGTTGCCAGGGGCTTGGGTTGTGCTTTTTGTCATCGGCAACTGGATAAAACAAAGCACCAGAACACCCTTACTGTGTAGCGGGAGAAACCCAGCTTTTTGTAGGTCCCTCTGGGAAGCTTCTCGATGAAGGAAATGGCTCAAATGTATAAGGGGGAATAAAAACTTTCCTTACCTAGGAAAGTTTGCTCCCAATTTGTCAAAATTGAAACTCAAAATTGAGTTTGGCTAAGCTACTTCTCTATTGAGTACAAGTTGCATTACAACCCTGTGCCATGGCACAAGATGAAATAATTTTGGAACAAAGATTTTTCTCTGTGTGCTCTAATTTCCAGTAGCAGTCTGTTTTGTTACTGAAAAATAATTTGCATGTGCATGGTCATGCCACCCTCCCTGAGAGGTTTCTCCTCTTTATTGGGGCGTTATCCATAGAAGCAATTGGTAGATGCTGCATCAGAAAGACACAAAAAAAATCCTTTTTGGGAAAAACTGTGGAGTTCTGTAAAACAGGCTGAAGTTTATAGTCTGCAGCATTTACCAACTTTGCTTCTAAGTACACTTGCAAGGTAACAGTAAATTTTTGTTTGTGAATACTGATCTACAAATGCCAGCCAGTTAGTGATGAGAGAGCACACGTTTCAATGAAAGTTTACTGTTTCTCTCTACACATACCCTCAAGAAGTGAGATACCCAAAAGTCTGCTGACACAACCTGCTGCCTTAGAGGTACCTTCACACAGCAAGTACAGAAATGAAAGCTTCTTCACACGGTTGTTTCCCCTCCTCTGTTACTGCACTTGTGTGCTGCTTTATTGCAGAATGACTCGCTCTTATGTCACTGGTCTGTTTTAGTGAATGCTCTGTGGAGCTTGAGACTTTAAGCTGCACATAAATGTTTGGCTTCCTCTTACAGATGTTTCTCCCCTTCTTTAGCCACCGAAATGTGATGATGAGGCTGAACTTGCAGCTGACAATGGGAACTTTTTCTCTTTCCCTCTTTGGACTAATAGGAGTTGCATTTGGCATGAACTTGGAGTCCTCCCTTGAAGAAGTAAGGAATTAATGCTGCCTTTTTCCAGTGACAAAAAAATGGGTCCTGTTCTTATTTTGCATTCAGTACAACTCTGTTCTTTTCATACGTAGAACTCCAGATTTATGTTCATGTGTAAAGTAGGCTAATTCAGTCTAGATTCGGTGATTCAATTCAGATTGAAGCATTAGTGTGATCACTGTCTTTTGTACCAGACTGCTTTAGGACTAATTACAGAGCACTGCAGGTGTGGGTGTTGTGGTTTTTTTTTTTTTTTTTTTTTTTTTGTTTTGTGGTTAATGAAATGTTCCATGAGAGAAAATAGAAAGACAGAACTGTGTCTCAGTAAGGACAAAGCAGGGTTTGGGGTTCTTGAATGACCATTCGAGCTTCTGAAGAGCCCAGCCCTGCCTTTTGGATACAAGGTTTTAAAGCAAGCAGCTTTGGGTGGTCCCAGCACAGACTTCTTTCCATTATCCAAAAAGTAGAAAGGTTGAATTTGTAAATTGCAAAAGGAGCAAGAAGAAGAAAGGAGAAGGGCATGGGACAATAACTCAGGTGATTCCCCGGCTGAACTGGGCTGTTGCTGGTAGTGTATTGCTCCTCACATAAAGGAGAAGGCTGCTGAAACAGGGATGGATCACAGACTCTTACCAGAGAGGGCTGCATGACTAACAGGAGGTTTCTCTTGCTAGGACCCCCGGATCTTCTGGCTGGTGACGGGCATTATGTTCCTGGGGAGCGGTCTGATATGGCGGCGCTTGCTCTCCTTCCTGGGGCGGCACCTGGAGCCGCCGCTGCCTCCTCACGTACGTGCGCCCGCCCTCGGGCCCCGGAGCAGCTCCCCTCCTGTGCGAGGGGCGAGCAGCCACCAAGGGAAGTGCCACAGAGCACAGGGGGGCACTGAGGGGTCTCCTGGGATCCTGTCCTCCTGCTCCCACCCGCCCACTAAGGCTGAGTCAGTGGTCCTCCCGTGAAAGAAGAGGCACAGAGAGAAGGAAGGTAGGGCTGGGTATCAGCTGCAACATCTCATGCTGGAGAGTGATGTGCTGATGCCCGCCCCCAGTCAGAAGGTTGCAGGAGCAATTCCTGTGCACACGTCTTTGGCCCCCATGCTGATAGCATTACAGGAGCTCATGCCAAGCTGTACGAAAATTTACAGGATGACTCTCTTCAGCTCAGCAAGAGTTTGTGTGCGTCATTTTCCAAATTCAGTGCCTTTTCTTTGCAAATTTTATAGGATTGTACTAGCTGGCTTGCCTATATTCTGCATGCCAGGAGTTATAGAACTACCAACATACTCAAAGTTAATTTCCTTCCAATTTCCAAAGTAAGAAAGAGACTCAAATTCCTGTCTTTTTCTATCCCCAGGTCTTGCCACTGAGAGGCAGACAGAAGTAGTTTGCTGTCCACTACCTGTGGCTGCAGTTTACTAGATTATACCACTGTATCACTCAAGAACAACTCTAGTACATACTGACTTGCTTGGAAAAAGCTATTGAAAGGGATAGGAAGAAGCCAGAGACACAGTGTCCTGTTAAATGGAGGAGGAGAGGTTTCTGCTTTCTGTTCTTTTACCACCCCCACCCCCTCAAAAAAAAAAAATGGTTGTGAAGCTTGATTTACTTCTGCTGCACATACAATATCTTTTCATGCAATTACAAGCCATTTTGCATCTTGCCTAGGTTCCTGCACTTTTGAAAAAGACCCAGCCATCAGCTTCAAGAATGGAGATGAAGAGTGACCTTAAAGCAGAAACGCTGGGACTGAGCAGAAACACCCTGCCAAACAACTAGAGCAGCAGGAATGAGAGACTTTTCTTGTTACAGGGTGGAGTTGGGACACTTTCCTTACTTTCTTCACTACTGAAAACCTTCAGAATTTCTAAATTTAAGTTAATACCTATTTTGTGTCAAAAAGTTATGGTGAGATTTTAATGCCCACACACAAAAGGAGAGAAACATCAGGCATGAGTGAGAAGCCTTCCGCGGTAGCCTTGTGTCTGACCCCATGTATATTCCATTATATTTCTGTGTCCACACATCACATGTACATACTCATTTGGGGGCATTCTCCTTTGAAGCTTTCCTATCAAATAATGACTTCTCTTAGAAAAGATCAGAATTGTCAGCATAAAGGACTAAGTCACCATTCATCAGAAGAGTTACTTGTCTTCAGATAAGCCTGGTTATGAGCTGCGGGAGCTGTGTCAGCGATATGACTGCAAAGAAAAATCTGCCCCTTGTCTTGGATTTTCAAGCTCCTTTTAATTGCAGAGAACAGATTTTCAAAAGCAAAGAGCGTTATCTCTGTCGCTTGTGAAGCACTACCTCCAAATTACCTGCAACTGGAACTAACTAGCGTAATACTGCTCACTTAAAACAGGAGAAATCATACTAGTCTTTGAAATGCAGTTACTTACATCAGTTGGTCCCTGATACCTCATTGAGGCCCAAGCTGTGGTCAGCTTTGATAACCAGGAAAGCTGGCCCATTCATAAGGCAGACCTGTGCCTGCCTTTTGCCCCTGTTTGTACATGCCTTGTTAGAGCTGCAGTTTAACATAGCTTTCTGTCATTAAAAGGAGCAATTCAAACCTTGTTTGAACATAATAATAAAACAGTGTGGGGGTTCTCCTGAGCCGGGGTCCATTTTCTCTGTGTTGCTTTAACAATGAAAAGACAAAACAAGGGTGGACTAGGCTGAACTAGAGCAAGCTGGGGCTAAATCTCTGAAGCTTGAGGCCTGGGCGGCAGCCCCAGTGGGAGGCCGGGGCTGTGGAAACTGGTGTTGCTCCTGGGAATGACCCAAGGAAAGGGTTCAGTTTCTCCTTTGGGCTTACCTTCCCTTGAACTTTGAGGGCCTGATTGTCCACTGACTTATCTCAGTGTAAAAAGCAGGAAGGATTTCACAATCAGGTCACAAGATTCAAATCTTTGGGCCTTTTTTTTTTTTTTTTTAAAAAACCTCTATTTAACGTACAGTAGGTAGTCCCTTAGGTGCCACCAGATAAACCACTGCACTTAAGAGCGGCTGAAAAGACAAAAATTGTAGCTGTGAACATTTTGACTCAGGCCTGACAAAAAGCTGGAAAGGGTACAGAAACTAGTATTATACTGAGGTGTAATCTTAGTATGGTTAAAATATTGTATAAATTATTGCCAAACTGCTGTTCTTGCTTCAGAGGTGACTTCAACTACAGGTATAAGAGGCACAGGATGGTGAGAAAAATAAAGGGGAGTTTCAGTGTTTTTCTTTTGAATGTGTAGTTCAACTCTGTGTCAGGCTTTGTGCTTGGGAAGTAGAGATTTAAACAACACAGAAGCAGAGCAGTGGGAGAAGCAGCGGCTCACATACCTGGGCTCGGAAATGAGTGAAGAGAGGCAGGAGCTGGCAATTCCAGACAGTGTTCCACAGTAAAGCCATTCCAGCAGCAAGCGCTGTAGGCCTGGCCTCGAGGGCCTTGGTGCAGCCAGATGGGGAGTTTCAGGGACGCTTCCCAGCATCTGTGTTTTGCGCAGCTGGAGGGTTCTGTGAAGTGTAGCGCCTGTTTTCTGTACATAACTGACTTAAAGCACAATAAAAACATTCACAGAAAGACACCAGTTCTTTTCTGAGACTGCCTTTTGCCTCACAGATAGATACAAGTGGTTAATGTTTTTTTAGCTAGGAACCAAAAGGCATTCCTAAGGAATAAAATAATTCTGAGATCAAACGGGAAAAAATCCAGTGGAGGCCATATATTAAGAATGGCATTTATACCAAAGTTTTATTTAGAAAAAGAAAGCTTTTGACTATGCTTTCATAAATACAGAACTGGTTTTGCCTCAAACAACTTTTCACAGGCTAGTAAGGTAAGTTCTGTGCACCCATTTTTTTTTTTTTTCAGGAAGTTTAGATTTCTCAGGTGTTTTAGTGTTTTTTTTGGGCAGGTTAAATAGATCATCCTTAAAATACATGTCAGAAGATGTATCATGCATCAAGCTACTATTCAACTTGTCATCTCTCTCTCTTTTTTTTTTTTTCCTAAGACAACTTCCCTGACAGAAAGAATCCCCAAGAAGGGAAGCTGAGATGGGTCATCCTTAGACTGTGGCCTCTGGAATTCCCTACTACGCTCTTGCCTTAAAAAACAATGCTGTCATGTGAAGGAGGCCAGAGAATAGATATCTAAGTTTCTGTGGACTAGCCTGGATAATAATAACTTAAGCAGCTATATGTGATGCTATTATTTAATTCATATCAATGCACATATTAACCTGTATCATAAAAAAAGTGTTAATTAGCTTAAAATGATACTATTAAAGCACAATTTTTTGTTGCAATAGTCACTGAATTTTACATGAAAGCGCAAAAAAAAACGGGTCTCATAGCAGTCCCCAGCTATGAGTGTTGTAGCAAGAGAGTTCTGTAAAAGACATCCAGTCTTGTGTGTGTTCTTCCTGGGAGATTTCAGCTGATGAACATCCTCCTTTTTGGTCCCGCCCTGGAGCCTTACAAGGTAAATGGCAAAGGGCAGCAGATGGACAGAGTTCAGGAACCGAAGACACCCGCCTGCAAATGAGGGGCAGGACAAGCAGCCTGGCTAAGGAATGACCCCCGAGGAGGGTAAGGATAAAGCAAGTGTAGTACAGAGTACAGCACACACAGCACCAGACCATTCCTTATACAGCCAAACAGGGCCAACCGAATCCATCCTCCTGCTCTCCTGGAAGTCTTTCAGACCAGCTTGTTTGCCCCAGCTCAGGAAGTGCTACCGCTCACTGTGGAGTTAATCTGCCCTCTAACCTGCCTTTGTTTTGATTAGTTCGTACATGAAACCATCGCGATGCTCATGTTCCCCATCACTTACAAAACAACACATCCATCTTTCCTTTCACAATGTCTGGGGCTCTAACATCTACTTACTGCAGTTTGCTGCCATGTCACATTGCTTTGCATAGGTTAAGGAAAGTATCACAGATACTAGACAGATTCTTCAATAAAAGATCAGCATTAGCCTGGTCTTAACTACCACAAACCCTCAGAGAGAGTAGACCAAGAGCCTTCCACCAAGTCGAGCTTTCACCGAACTTCTCTCTGCTGCCACTACAACTTCTTTCTGTGGAGATACAGAATAAAGGTTAGCAAAACACACCTCCAAGTGCCCAACTGCCTTAAGCTCTCCTAGGAGAAAACAGATTTTATCCATATCACTAATGTTATACACAAATGTCATGAGGAAATGGACACCTCACCAGAACAGCTGTTAACAAAGCAGTCTTAGCAAAAAGACTATTTTACTCAGGAAAGTGAAAAGCAAAAGCCAGAATCAGCCAAATACATCTCTTGCCACTGCAGACTGCTAGGGGTAAAGTTAGCATGGGTAAGGCTGGAGCGTGGACTGGACTGGTGCCTTAGCTGGCAGGCAGACAATCACTTGGAAAACTGCCTCACGTGCTGTGTGCAGAAACCATCCACGACACCTTTGTTCCAGGTTTTGGTTTATGAAAACCTGCACTTCAACCTAGCTTAGACATACTTGCACTTGCAGGTCTTTCTCCAGTGCCTATTTTAACAGCAAGAGGTCAGACACCATTTGCTGAAGTGCACTCACAGGTGCCCAGCCTGGTCCTGAGGCTGTCTCACACCGCTGTCTCAACGCAAGTGTGACGCAGAGTCCATCGAGTTGAACAAGCTCTCAGCAACTTTCAAGCTGAGAGAAATTACAGATATCTCATTGCATTATACACAAGTAGAGATTGCTTTTTGATAATTATACGGGACTTCTGAGGGAACCAAAGAAATTCAGGTACAAAAAGACAACCAAATTTAGCCAGGTAGGAACTGGGTCTTGTTATATTTTTAAAAACTTCACTTATGAAGACTGTCCACTGAAGTGACAGCTAGGAAAGCACAATATTAACTGAGGGAGATGTTTAAGTGCTTGGTTTACACCACAGCTGAGCTTGGTTTACACCAACTTTTCATACCAGTTGATTAGAAACAGTGAACAGACACTGCATTGGCACCTGTACATGATTTATCTCTCAGCACACTGTTAAGCAGTTTGTATTTCACACCACTTCAAAGCGATCTCTTTCAATCCAATTGGTAGGTGTCAGCTACCAAAACTTAGATAACTCTGTAGTTCATCAACTGAGGACATGTTTTCAATTACCAGGTCAGAGAGTTACTTAAAGGAAGACTTGATCAACTAAGTAAAACAGTTAAAACCCGCTTGGATGCAGCCCTGTGCCACGTGCTCTAGGTGACCCTGCGTGAGCAGGGGGGTTGGACTCGATGACCTCTGAGGTCCCTTCCAACCTTCGGCATTCTATGATTCTATGATTCTATGA